CCCCAAAACCCCAAAACCCCAAAACCCCAAAACCCCATATTATAAAAAATCAATTGAAATTTTGAATAAGGAGTGTTTAACAAGAATATCTTTATGTCTATCGTCTTTTGCTTGGGTTCTAAATATGAAAGGTTAGGGCCAGAGTTCTACAAGCAAAATATGCAAAAATTCCATCACCCAGAAGCGATTAGCAGCTGGTTCGGTTTATTTTTAGTTAATGTTTCTACTTGGAAGGACGGTAAATTCATTCACAAGAAGTTAACGCTTAAACTAGCAGAGTTTTAATAAAGATTTTTCTTACCTTTAATGTCAAGAAGGTCCATCAGCTGATTAGGGTTGTCTATATTCCAGGTTTAGCAGGAATTCTGGGGAAGATTAGAAGGGATGTATGGCATCATCTTCTAAATGGTCCATAAAAAGGACGACTTAGGTTTGCATTGCCAGTTAATGTTTCTACAAGGGAAAACAACCACGCTATAAAGAAGTTTGGCCGCTTAAAGTTGCAGATTATTATCATTCTGTGGCTATCTTACCATCGAGTTTCTAAAGCAAGGATTAAATAAGCTCATAAAAGAGAGAAGGAATGTTCGAAGTCTTTACGTTCCTAATCCTATTTGAGAGGAGAAGGTATAGCGAGCAACGTGGTAATCTCCCCTGAATTTTCCCCATGGATACATTGTTAGGTAACCATGAAACTGCACAGGGGCTGGTAGGAAAATTTACTTACTTTTTCGTAAAGATTGAAAGTATTTTCAGTTCTTGTTATACTCCATATTCATGGATTGATCTTTGCTCATATTATGTAAAGATTTGTTTCTATACGAAAAGTTAAGATATCAGCCAAATTACATAAATCTGGACAATAAGAGCATAACTATTCATACTAATATCGGATGTGCAAACGACGGACTATTTATCCCAAGAAATAGTCGGATTTATAACATCCTCTCTCCTCACAACACCCACTTACAAATCTCCATGTCCAATTCCAAAATCGTGTTTAATTAATTATTCTATAATCCCTCCTAAATCCGGGGTTTTGGGGTTTTGGGGTTTTGGGGTTTTGGGGTTTTGGGGTTTTGGGGTTTTGGGG